AGAGACGCTAGCTCTTTAGAGTAGTGCCCTTTATAGTATTTGCAGAAAAGAGAAAGAGAAGCAACATTACGACGATGTGACAATGGTTGAAGATTGGCTGCAAGAGCAGGTCCAACTATGTTTACAATTCGTTTTTTTCACCTTGTCTAAAAGAGAAAAACCATCATTCGAAAATCCGCTCCAGTTATGGCAACATTGTTTCATACAATGGTTGATTAGAGATTTTTAGAGACGAAGAATAGAATCTGGAGTAAAAAAAAAAACAAGCACGATAAAGAGATGCAACCTCATATATTTTAAAAAGAGTACAAATATGTTTTTGAAATCACTGTAATCAATAATCTTTGAATCAGTCAGTAAATAATCTAATATTGTTATACATCATTATTGCTCATAGGTTTAAATAATCCTATTTGCTATACTATGAATGCTGTAAAAAATTATTAATAGCATTTGTATTACTTTTCATTTTCTGTACTTGTTTCATTTGGAATAATTTCTTTTCTTTTATTTTTTGGCTTATATTTTTCTTCTTGAAATAGTAATTCTATTTTTAAAACATAATTATCATAAGTGAAAGTAATAAATTTGGCCGGTAAAAAGCGCTTGACAGTGCCATAGAAAACGTCTTTAACTAAAAAAGACTTAAAAGATAAAGTACCTTTAAGAAAATAAGAGCCACTAAACATCCAACATAAAAGTTGGAAAAGGTCTTTTCCAGCTTTATGTGACATAAAGAGAGGTTTCACTGTTATGTGACATAAAGAGAGATTTTACTGTTATGTGACATAAAGAGAGGTTTCACTGTTATGTGACATAAAGAGAGGTTTCACTGCTATGTGACATAAAGAGAGATTTTACTGTTATGTGACATAAAGAGAGGTTTCACTGTTATGTGCCATAAAGAGAGGTTTCACTGTTATGTGACATAAAGAGAGATTTTACTGTTATGTGACATAAAGAGAGGTTTCACTGTTATGTGACATAAAGAGAGGTTTCACTGTTATGTGACATAAAGAGAGGTTTCACTGTTATGTGACATAAAGAGAGGTTTCACTGTTATGTGATATAAAGAGAGGTTTCACTGTTATGTGACATAAAGAGAGGTTTCACTGTTATGTGACATAAAGAGAGGTTTCACTGTTATGCAACAAATGTGAAAATACTACCATTACACAACGCTATCATTGAGTGTGACAAAGCAAAGAATAATATTCGAAGCAAAGCAGTATACTGCTACCAGGACATTTAATGTTCTCAATTATTATTAGTACTCAAACAATTAAGAGCATTAAATTACCTGGTTGCAGAGAATGCAGTGTATTATAATCATGCATGGCTGACTTTAGGCTGATCAAAGTGGATAAAAGTGTTAAAAAGAGACAGGAAGACGTAATCATGACGAATGCTTTTAAATATATTTGCAGTTGCCACAAAAAGTCAGCAGAAACTGAAAAATATATTTGATTAGAGAGTTATATGACAAGATGATTATTGACATAATGGTGTTGGATTTTGACTCAACTTTTCCTACAAAACTAAAAGAAGGTATGAAGATGAAAGTAGAAGATGTCCATTTTATCCAGAGAGCTAGTTGTAAGGGTAAACTAATTTTATTTAAAGATATGAGAGGCTATATACTAATTGAAATTAATTATCTAGCAACAAGATAGAAAAAAATAGTAAAAGCAGCAGTCAAGATAATGAATGAAGAAATAAAAGAAATAGAGTACAGCAAAGACTTTTACCCTAGTGTTGATGATATTGTTGATAGAGAAAAGTGTGTTTATCAATTGTTAAAAGCCTTTATGATGTTGCCAGTCAGAAGCAGTAGAGTCTGAGCCAATCTATTATACAAGCTTTGAGACCATTGCACAAAAAGCAATTTAGAGTTGCTATGTTATAAAGATAATGTAAACTGTGAGTAAGCTGAAGGAGTTGTTAAAGGAAAAACCAAAATGAGTTGGAATATATACCAAAATCATAAGATAAGATCAGCATAAAACATTGCACTCGATGTTGAAGGTAACAAGTATTTAAAAAGAAATACCCAAGTATAATTTTAGGCTAATAACAACACAATAATCATAACACTTTAAGATGGTTTACAACCAATCTGTGAATTTCAATGGACTTAAGAGCTTATGTCACTTTTTAAACATGGCATGGCATGAATCCCAGATTCTTTTTGAAAAATAATTATGTGACAAAGATAATGTTAAAAATGAAGAGAACAGAACTCTAGACCGTTTTAGATGTTGGTACATTGCTACTCAGAGTTAAATGGCTTAAAGGAATGTAATACTCAAATTACAAAAGAATTTCTAAGGCAGTTATTTTGACAGCTATCAAGATGAAGGCATAAAGTTATGAGCATCTATGCAGAAATTCTATTCCATAAAGCCGCAATGTAGTTCTATAATCCACTATAAGAACCCTGTGCTTTTTAATCAGGATTGTTTTCTAAGCATTATGAGAAAATATACACATTTCAGAAGTTTTTTTACATAGTGTTTGAAACAACCAGGGTATTTAAATGTTAACTGCCTAAATGATTCTGATAGCATTGTTGTAAAAAGATCTTTTGACATTTTGATTATGCAAGTTTGTGGTAAAATATAATTTAAAAAATTTAACTTTTAAATTGTTTTTGTCTTCTTTTAAATTTTAAAATAAGCATTGTTGCTAATTTCACAGGCATTGTAATTATGCTTATTTATTATTAGAAAGGCAGCATGTCTCATGGCATTAATGACATCAAATGTATGAAATACAGGACTATATTAAGTAATAGTAAAAAATGATTACAAGTCTGTTTGAAGATTTAGAGTTACTGCTAGCTATTTATATTATATTTGCGTTTTTTCCCTAACCCCCGGTAAAATATCTTATTTTTACATATTTAGAATGAGGATATGTTTTCTAATAATAATTTTTATTTAAATAGAAAATTTGTGCTAGACCATTACTTAAAGTAACTAACAATAAAATCATCATCACTATCATCAGCAGCAATATAATGATTACCAATCTGTATGATCATCAATAGAATCATAATATGTTGATTACCAATCTCTATGATCACACTGCCCAACAGTGATTTTGTATCGGAACCAAAATTAGTTATTTCTTTTGTATTTCCATCTGCTGAATTCAAAAATGACATTAAAAATTACATATTAGCTCTAGTTGAAGAAATAAAAGCAAAAATATTCTCTTGAGGCAAGGGTTTAATTAAGCGATTGCAAAATGGAAAATCCAGAAAAATATATGGTCTTAAAAATTTTAGTTTACACAAAACCGTGTACTTTGTTTTCTAGAGGCAAATCAACATAAATTTGATAGGGAAAAAGTTCTAAAATATAAAATAATAAACTTAGGACTGATTACGTGCTTTATTAAAATAATAATACTATTATAGTTTTATTACTTATACAATGCAGTTAGTAACAGGAGTGTATATTTATATTATATTTGTAATTGTGTATATTTGTAATCATGGAGTGTATATTATATTATATTTGTAATCGTAAGTTTATTTTTCTAGATTTTGCAAATTGCGATCGCTTAATTCAACTTTCATTTTTTAAAAAAAGAAATTTTCGTTTTTAACTATCTATAATGTTTTATTCATGTTTAATACTTGTGATACTAGTTATGTGTGTTTGCTAAAGTTTCTGGTCTAATCTATTCTCAGTTTTTTTTTTCATTTACTAGCGCAAAATTTTACAAATCAACATGCCAAGAAAGTGTGTAAATTTGGTGGACAATTTTTGTTACATTTGTCGTGAAATAACATTTTCCTCACGGAAAAGAACTGACACCTCTTGTGCAAACTGCTTACCAGCATTACTTCGATATGAAGGTAGGGGACCAGAATAAGTCATGGGCTCCACATATATGCTGTAACTCTTGTTCGGTCACACTACGAGAATTGTTGAAAAATAAAAAAAGATATTTGCCTTTTGCTGATCCTATGGTATGGAGAGAGCCAAAAAACCATACAGATCACTGTTATTTCTGCTTGACTCCACCCATTAAGGCAGGTTTGTCAATGAAGAAAATACGAAAAGTTAATTATCGAAATCTTTCATTTGCCATTCGACCTATTCCACATTCAGATAGTTTAGCAGTTCCTCCACCACAAAGTTGTGAGTTAGAAACAGAAAATGAAGACGGAAATGAAGTAGAAATAGAAGAAAAAGAAGAAAATAGACCTTCCATATCAAATGATTCTGATTTTGTGTTAACAGATGTTGTGCCACACAAATTGAGTCAAGCAGAATGAAGTGATCTAAAACAGTGGAATTTTCTCCAAGTTGATGTCAAGGTTTCACATTATAGAAAACGGCAGCAGAATCTGCTTTCTTTTTTTGAGAAGTTGTTGTTTGCATTGGTGTTTTTGGATTAATTTATTGTCTTAATTTGAACTATGACCTAACTAAATGGAGATTATTCATAGACTCATATAAGCAAAGCTTGAAAGCTGCATTACTGCACAACGGAAACCGTCTTCCTTCTGTTCCTATTGGTCATGTAGTTCACATGAAAGAGACTTATATAAACATGAAAGTTCTCCTCAACTCAATTAATTACAATGAACACAAATGGAAAAATGGTGATCTAAAAGTCATTGCTATACTTTTAGGAATGCAATTAGGGTATACTAAATACTGCTGCTTTTTGTGTATGTGGGACAGTAAAGACAGAACTTCACATTATATAAAAGAAGACTGGCCTGCAAGAAATCTCAACACAAAAGAAAAAAAATATGTAGTTTCCACATTCCACATATGATATTATTATTGTTTATAAATATTCCTTTTAATTGTATTTCATAAACAAAGTTTTTGAATTTTATTGAATAATATCTATAATATTGTTCGGTTACCCGTTTTACCTTTTTTCCCACCTACCCATCTTACCATTTTTTAATCAATCATCGCAATAATTTTTATTATTATTACTATTTGGTTCTCACGTATATTATTAATGTTTAGGTATGGTGAATGAAAAGAATCATGTAATGGCAGCTCTTAAATACAAAGATGTTGTAAATAATAAAAAAGTTGATTCCTCGCAGCGTCCGCTACTCCGTCCGGCAACTTTTATTTTACAACAAAAAAAAGATTCTAGTTTACCAGACAGAACTTTACAAGATGATGAGCCTTTTACTAAAATAAAGACGGTATGCGATAATAATTCTGATTTTTTAAAAATCTGTTTCTCTCTCTCTCTCTCTCTCTCTCTATATATATATATATATATATATATATATATATATATATATATATATATATATATATATATATATATATATATATATATATATATATATATATATATATATATATATATATATATATATATACACGCGCAACTAACTAGCTTGTTTTAACTTAGCTGATATTATTCCACTTTACTTTTACTATAATATTATATGATCCATATTGTTTCAAATTTCCAATCCAAAAATATGTTTAATAAATGTGGAATTCGCTGTGCATGTTGTCATCAGACCAATCATTGAGTGAAGGTTTGGGCAGGCAGTATCAATGTTTGAAGGGCATATATTATTTGCAAAAGAAAAAAAAATTCTCCTTCGGTGATTGAAAAACTTTGTTGTCAGCATTAAAGTTAATATATATAATTAGAGCAAATATAATTTGACTTTTAAACAGTTTTTGTCTTCTTAGAATTTAGTTTTGAAAGAGAAAGGTATTTCTTCTGAAGCAGTCGCCTTGAATAAAAGTTCTATTTCTCGAAAGAAGTTAAATTGGACATATTTTGCTATTGGCGGCCTGGTGATTAGCTTTTTATTTAATATTTATTTAATTTCCAAGGAGTTTTAGGTTTATAATTTTTAAGTTTTTTTTTTTTTTTTTTTCATGTAAATATTTTTTTTTTTTTTTTTTTTTTTTTTTTGTAATTAAGGTTTTCAATTTAAAAAAACTAGCGCAGTGTACTTTTCTATAAATCTCACTTGAGGCTGCGGCGCAACCATAAAAAAAGGAGGAATTTTTTTTTTTACTTTATTTAAAAAATTTCACATGTAAATTTGCTAATATTACTTTGTGTCTTATCTGGATAGAAAAGTGGACGTGATTTAAAATTTGTTTTTTATTCGTCGTGGCTTCTAATAATACAGTAAATATTGAACTCGAAACATATTTAGTATATGATAATTATAAGTAAATAAAAAAAGTCAGTGAAAAAAATTTTTTAATATAAAAACTGCTTTTTTAAATATTGTAAATATCGTGTAACGTTGTAGTGTTTATGCGTGTGTTTATGTAACGTTTACGAACCCGATAAATGCAAAAAAATTTATATTTTTGTATACTTTTTAAAAACACAATCAATGCGTATTTTTAAAATAAGGGAAAGACGCCTATGATCGCATACTTAACTTTGAAGCTTCATTATTTAGTATCCTGAAGACCAAGAACAAAAGTTTTTATATAGATAAATTCTTTGTTACATGTAGAATAATAATAACCCTAGGAGTTTTTATCAGTTTTATTTTTTTATTACTTAGTTACTTTTATTTTTTTAAAAAAAGCACTAGTATGCCATCATAGGCAACTACTGCTCCTATGATGGCATAGGGGAGGATCGATGCATAGTTAGCATCAAGGTTAACTTGACAATTTCATTTGACATTAAAGTTTTCCCTCAGTAATGGCAGAAATTACACGTAATCATTCTAATTAACCCTTTCGTGCTACACAACAGCAGTGTAGAATTTTGCGCATGTGCATTAGAGATATTGCGTTTTATGTGTTTTTTGAATCAAAAATTTTTTAGTGAAGTAAAAATTCCTCCTTACTTTACTAACAAATATGTTGTTTTTATGAAGAAAAAAAAGTTTTCTCAACTCGTCACTATTGCAACACACCTACTCGTCAGTATGCCATCATAGGAAGAAGTCATCATTTTCATTTAAACAAGCTATGTTTGCCTTGTTCAAAAGATAAAATTAAAATAAGTATTCCACTAAATGCACAAAACTTGGAAATAAAGTGCAAAAAAATTTCATTTTTGCACAGTTATTAATAAAATCACAATCTAAAATATTTTAAGGGATTAAAAATACAAGAGCACATCCCAAAATCAATTTTTGTTGATTATAAAAGCAATATTTGTGCATAAGGGACGTATTTTTACTAAAACTAATGTAAAGCCAGTATAGACATATTGGTCTAATCACTTTTTCGCCATAACCAATATTTATGAAAATATGAACGGTATGCCATCATAGGCGCCTTTCCCCTAATCAAAATAAATTTTGATTATTTTTAACTTCTTTTTTGGTCTTATTAATTAAGAGAATTTGGTTAACTAAACCTAGATTATCCGGGTTTTTTTTCTTATTCGTCACCTAAATCTCTTTCATTCAATATTGCAAAGAAATTCTGTTAAACCGTGTTTGGTGACACATTTTTCATCGAACCATTTCTTATCATATATTTGTTATGGTTCACAAAACTTGATATTGACCAGTGATATTGATATGCAACATTTATAGAAAAGTTAAAAATTATAATTTTATTCATAAGTTATTATTTAATTTAGAAAAATCCCATATTGTTGCTAATATATATTTTTGGCATAAGTTGGTTAGTTGATTGATATAAAAACAAAGTTGAGTTAATTTTGTTAATTATAAAGCTAAAAAAAAGACGAAATATTTTTACAAAAAAACAGTAGAATGTCAAGTCTTTATTTTATTTTTTTAATTTTTTTTAGTGTTACATTAATTATTGTAACACTATAAAATAATATCAAACTATATAAACTCAAGGGACTTTGTGATAAGACCAACTCTGTCTTCTTCTTGCCTCTGTTATTTGTATTTATATTATCATTTACGACTTGAATAGATTTATATGGCAAAAAAAAAAAAAAACCTTGAAAAAGAGCCTAATTTTAATAAATCACGAGTTGTAATACTTGAAAAAAATACTGACGACATTAAACATAAAATTTCCAGATCAAAACATCAAGGAAATCTTCACTCAACTTAATCTAAGATCAATAAGGAAATAAACACCTTTGAAAAAAAAATAAAGTTCTAGAAAATAGATCTCGTCGCAATAATTTAAGAATTAATGGTATTGCATAATTGAAGACATGGGTGCAAAAACGGTGTAATTCCATTTTCGTAAATTGTTCAGAAAAGAAAAAACTGAATAATTTTATATGTAGGGAATACGTATTTTTCTACCAAATCGTGTGTTTAATGACACAAGAAGTGCTTTAATGTTTTTGACACAAGAAGTGAACTTCTTTTATATACTGATAATCCATTAAAACCTAAAAATCGATAATAAAAAAAGTGGAGTTGCGTCGTTTTTCGACCCATGTCTTCAATTACATTCTGAAACGTGGGATGATTGGGCAAGAGCAGTTAAAAATATCTTTAAATATCAGCTTGGAATTGCCATTGATAAAGTATTTGAGCGAGCCATCAACTACAAAAAGCTAAAGACAAACTACCAAGAACAACAGTCCTTAAACTCTTAAATTTTAAGTAAGTAATCAAATATGATAATTTTTTTTTTTTTTTTAGTAATACCTAGTGGAAAATTTTTCAAGATTTTGGGGCCCTAACGGTAGGTTATTTTTACTCGGACCCAGTAGCCACAGCAATAATTAGAAACATAAATAACAATTTTGAAAAGCTGCTTTACTTATTAGAAGAAACTAAAAATGTTTTTAATATCATTTGTTTAACTGGAACTTGGATATGTACTAATGGTTTCAGTAATAACGCAAATTTTTATTTTTCTCGTATCTCAAGAGACATACAAATTAACGCACAGTGGAGTTCTTATTTACTAGAGGGAAACCATTGCGCATTACGTTATAACGTAATGCGCAATGGTTTCAATGCGTAATGGTATCGACGTCAGAGACAAAACCTAAATCATTCCTAACGCGTTAGGAATGGTTTAGGTTTTGTTTCTGTCGTCGATAAAGAAATTTTAACTATTGAAAAATTTTAACAATAAATCTAAAGATATGTTACTTAGGTGCTGTTATCGATCACCTGACGGTCGAGAGAATGTGAAAACGATTTTTTTAAGAAAATGTTATCAAAATAGGCATCAAAAAAAAATTATTATTGGCAATCTTAACATGAGTTTTTTTAACTACGAAAATGACTGTAAATAAAAAAGTTTACGATTTAATATTTGAAATAGAAACTATTTGCCTAATAATCGTTCAACTAGAGTATCAACAAACTGATTTGACAAACTCTGATTAATAACATTATTATAACAGATGTCTTCAAGAACAATACACAATATAAAAAATAAAAAATAGGGGGAGGGGCGTGCCCCTGGTGGCGTTGGTGATGTATTCAAAGTATATATATTTGATAATTTCCCGATATTTCTATCGTTCCACTCAAATACTAAAATTAAGACCAGAACAAATAATAAACTAAGTAAACGTATATATAATATAAACAATATTAAACAGTTTTAAAACTGCATTTTTATATATTAAACAGTTTTAAAAACTGCACATTTTAATCTAAAGTCAACTAAAGTGTTTGATAAATACTTGGGAAACAAAACGCGACTAAAGCATAACAAGTCATGTTGATATGACGACATTACCAGTAATGTAACTATCAATGTTATGGATAGTATAAGTAAACCATTATTTTATTTAATAGCATTTTCATTTGAGAATAGTATATTTCCTGATAAATTAAAATCAGCGAAAATTCATCCAGTTTTTAAAAATGGTGACTGTTCTTCTGTTTGCAACTACTGTCTTATATTACTACTCCTTGTTTTTTTAAAAATATTTGAAAGGGTAATTTTTAATAGAACTTATGATTATATGACATTAAATACACTTTTATTCAAAAAGCAATTTGGATTTCAGAGATATTGCTCAACTGAACATGGTATTATTGAACTTTCCAATAAAATATCCATGTCCTTTGATAAAGGGGAACAAGTACTGGGAGTATTTATCGATCTCACTGAGGCATTCGATACTGTTGATCACGGATTTTTCCTTTCAAAGCTAAAGCATTACGGCATTAAAGGCCTAACATAAAAGTGGGTTAAGAGTTATCTTTTTAATAGAAAACAATTTGTTGTTCTGAAGGAGGAAGGAGCTCTAGATATTGTTTGCGGAGCCCCACAGGGATCAATTTAGAGACCTTTATTATTTTTAATATATATCAATGATATGAATAAAGCTTCTCATAAAATATCGTCAATTATGTATGCAGACGATACAAATTTATTCTACAACAATTTTGATGTAAAAATACTGTTCGAAACAATGAACACTGAACTAGAAAGCTTTAACCAATGGTTTATAGCTAATAAGTTAGCATTAAATTGTGAAAAAAAAAGTTATACTCTCTTCCATAAAATAAGACAGTCAACTAATCTTCCATTAAAGTTGCCAAAACTGTCAATCAATAAAAATCAAATAAATCGAGTAAATCATTCAAAGTTTTTGGGAGTAATATTTGATGAGAACCTATCATGGAAAAAACATATTAGTCTCATTGAAGCAAAAATATCTTCTGCTATAAGTGTAATATACAAATCTAGTGCCTTTCTTGATTATAAATCACACAAAATGCTTTACTTTAGTCTTTTTCATTGTCATCTCTCCTACGCTAATATTGTTTAGGCTATTAGTTATTAAGATTACAGGGCTTACAAATCCACGCATGTATAGCAGTTAACTATTTAAAGAGATTAGAAAACATTTCCCCTGTAATTAAATACATGAATATTTTAAATATATCAAAACTTAATTCGCTTCAAATATTAATATTTATGTATAAATATAAGAATAAATTGCTGCCAAAAGTGTTTTCTGATATTTTTACATCAGCATTTTCACAAAAATACAATCTTCGGTCAAATAACAACCATAACTATCACTTGAGCATAGTAAAATCGCAAATGTTGAAATTCTCAATTATTAGCCAAGGCCCGTCATTATGGAATCATTTAATCAATTAAAATCATCGAATCAATTAAAAAATAACAATATAAAAAATTTGAAAAGCACTTTCTCTTTTAAACGACAAATGAAACTGCATCTCCTTAATTTCTGACATATATG